ATTTTAAAGTAATTATTCTGAGAGACATATTTATGTATACTATTAACGGAACTATTACTTCAAATCAGAATAAACAATAATTTTATACTCTCCAGCCTATCCGTATAACACTGAAGTTACAGTTGCATTGTAATTCCCTTGAATAAAATATAAATACGAAACCTACATATATGTCATAGTAACATTTACAATAAATAACATCAAAAATTATTTTTATTATTATTTTATATATTAAATTTTTTTACATTACTTCTTACAAAAAAATATTTAACTCTCTGTCCGTAATTTGAGTCTTTTTAGTACAAGTAAAATTATTCACTTTTAAATTTCTAAATAAAAAAATCCGATTTTTCTTTTTAAAATAATCTATTAAAAACTGTTTGATAATGTAATAAAGATGTTGAAAAATACTTCTGAATTTTTCCACATTTTTTTAAAAGCCGAGGACAGTAAAAAACTTGAGCTAGATGAAGGAAATAAAAATATGATTGCAGACGGAGAGTTAATAAAATAGTTATAGTTTTTGAAAAAAACTGTTTTCGAGCTCAAACTTTTATAATATTTTGTAAATTTTATAAAATCTTTGTTCTAAAAGTCAAATCTCTCAACTAAACAACTCAAATAGCCGATTAATTTTTACAAGTAACGAATAATGTATACTCATCTCATGGCTTTTCCATCGTCGGTGAACGATGTCTCTCCTAGGCCTCTTCCTCTTCTCAGGAATCTTCGAGATACAAACTCAACATACACTAAAACTCAATGACACTAATGGAAAGGTTGTTAATCACAATTGCGCGCGTATTAATTCAGAGTACGATAATCACGCGGCATTTGCATGGCATTCTCAACGTAACACGAACGCGATCCGACAATCCCGCAAAATACGTGAAATATTATTAATGACATAACATGGCTTTCTGTTTGAATCATTCGACCTGATAGTTCGCTCTCAATTTGGAAATAGTATTAGAGAAATGATATTTAAATTGGCGAAAAATTCGGGACACGTCTGCCTCAATTTCTATTTTAAACTACTGAATTGCGCGAAACATGTCTGCTTCAATAAATCGACATTGTTAGCCGTGATGCCGTTATCGAGTTGCTAACCGTGAGAGTTAATCAATCGCGATGTTGGAGTTCGGTAATTGTTACTTGTTCATGAGGAACGATCGCGATTCGAAGGATAATACGCAACACGCGGAGCGGCTAGCCGTTCACTCGAGTGTCGAAGGGCGAATGATAACGCGGCGACCTTGTGTACGCTATATCACGCTTTATATGTACGTTACAATACAAACATCAAGGCTGCGTGCCAATCTATTTCTGTGAAGTATTTAACGTATGTAAAGTAAATATACGCCGAAATATCGTGCTCTTTGCTTTTCAAATGGTGGAGCGCCAAATTTGTAGAATGTCAACGCTGGCAGAAAAAGGAGAATTGCATATATCAATTGACTCGTTTCATTACTATGAAATATTTAACACTAAAGATACGTTACATATTAAAAATATGCTGAACATACTTTTTTTTGTATTTAAAATTAATATCATTGAACAGATTGCCATCGCTTATATCTTGTGGATCCATTAGCGTCGAAAATGACTAATTTTATCTGAGAAATTATTAGATTAAAATTGTTATTTATATCTTAATTCAATGATTACAAATGATTCTCGCTGTTTATATATATAACCGACTTTACTTTTTAATTTTTTGATATGTAAATACATATGCATCATATATTATCAACAATTAATTTAATTAATTAGTTACTAATAACAAACTTTAATATTACACACCAAGTGAATTATCTGGTTTAATGTAATTATAAATAGGTTAATTCCTTTAACTTAATTACTAGAAATTAATTTGTCAATATTAGTTGTTATAGTATATGTTATTTGTAAGGAGAATCGAGGGATAATATGAGCCGAAAATAGAGCATATCAATTATATAAATTACGAAAATCAATAGTAAATGACGCACTAGTATATGTATAAGTGCAATTGCGAATGCGCGAATTCTATATGATACTATATTAGCTAATTTCGATCGTATAAAATTGATCATATTAATATTTTCTTGCTAACATTTTTTATTTTTTAAGAATGTAAGTGTTATTCAGATTATGTAGTAATTACATATAAAATACATAAATAAATTTGATTATACAATAGATATACAGGTTTTTTGATAATTTTAACAATCAATTTATTTAAAAAAATTTTTATTAAGATTATTATTTTTTACAACTCTTGAAAAATTTTAGATAATTTATTCTAGTAATTTTATTAAATTGCAAATTAAAATTTTGTTATAATAAAATATTTTTATAAAAAGTAAATTTTTCTACAAATAAAAATAAAACCAAATTTTTTAAATAATTAGGAAATAAAACAAGCCAATATCATATTTTATTATTTTTACATATATATGTGTTTGCGTATAAAAATAATAATAAATATGTTTATTTAAAGGAATGGTTATATAAAGTAAACACAATTGCAAAAATAATTATGGAAATATAATGTAATTGCTTTAGATATAACCTAATGTGATCTATTTGCTGTTTGAAGGTAGTTAAATACTTAATGGCAGTTAAATCTTCACTGCACTCGCGTAAATATTGAAAATATATTATATTTTCAATTAATACTTAGAAAGGTTTTCTATTTTCAATTTGATCCTTAGTTTTTAATATCAAACTGAACAGAAATTACACCACTTATTGGTTCTATTAGGTACAGTTATCTTATTTAAACAGATATATATGTGCACAAAGAAAAGATTAAGGTTGCTACACAGAATAATAATGTTATTTTTCGCTACGTATATAAAAAAGTTCAATATAATATATTATACCATATATGTGATAACACAAACTATAGAAATCAAAGCCTTAAACGGAATCTCAATGCTTATATGATTCTTCTGTGAATTCATGTAGTACATATGTAGTAGAAACGCGCGCCAAAATGATTTTTCGGTCTTGAAACGCTAACTCTACTAAATTACCGCAGTAATATCGCGAGTTAAATTGACTAGCAATTTAACAAATTTTTGATGCTTATTCGCATCTTCGAAACGATCTTAATAATGTTGAATGACATTAAAATCTGTAAATAATTAATTTTTATAAAAATATTACCTCGGCCGGGAGTCGAACCCGGAACTCTTGCATTCTGTACGAGCGTCCTAAGCCTTTAGACTACCGAGGCCTTAATTTTTCGCAATAATTGGCATATAAATATGATATTACTCTATATATATATATATATGATATATATATGATATGATATATTTATATGTAAATTAATTTCTAAAGACTCCTTAATGATACAAAATGGTTGGATATAACAGGGCAATAGGAGTCAAGCACGGTAATTTCTGTGCAAACCAATACGGTTAACAAAACAATTTTAATTCAACGAATCAGTATCAATTATGTTGAAATTAATGAATAACTTTTAATACACCTAAAACGTTAATCGCAAAGAAAAAAAAAGAAGCGAGAAAAACTCTAATATTAATTATAGTCCAGACGGACATCAAAACCAAAAGTAAATCTTTAATAATTCAAATGTAACGAAGAATGTACACTGATTGATTAATCAGTCTATAGCTTGTGTTATAAAAAAGTTATGAGAACCGTAGTATTCTGAAAGTGACCTACATGCAGATTACTCCAACTTAGCGAGGATAATTGCTATATAGATGTTACAACCACGGCTGCCACATTTTTAGTTCCACTTAAGATCGACAGTTTTTCTGCGAAAGATTTTACTATCCTGCCAGAAATCGATAACCAGTATTGAAATTGCCAACACTGAAATTCCTAGAAGTGTATCCTCTAAACAAAAAAAAATCATCAAATTTAGTTCTACCTGGCGGAAATATTTTTCTAAAAACCGGAAGAAAATTGACACGCGTGCATAAAAAAGTTATTAAAATTTTGAACTGTTAGTTGGAGAGTTTCCGTGTGCCAGAGATTTGGTCAAAAAGCCAGAGTTTCCAGTCGAAAGCCGGGGATGTGGTAAGCGTGGTTATAACAGTAATTATTTCTAGGTCAGAGTTAAATCCTGCGCTTTGAAGCTAAAACTCGCAAGATTAACCCCTTTCCATACACATTATAACGCGCGTTAAGCGCATATGTTTATAGAAACGTACGTATTTGATTAGGATAGCCATATACAGACGTATATTTGACGCGCAGCAATGCACGCATTTAAATCAAGGATTATTCATAATTATTCACATTTGTATTTACAATAATATGCACAAGAAAAATCACATACTATAATACACACTTTATTTTATATAAAAATTCTTCACGAGTTGACACACTAATACTGCTGTTGTCTATTCTATTGTCTATTGTTGTAATGAAATTGAATTCTTAGTACTGTGCTATGCAACTATGTTATTCGAAAGACAGCAATAAATCTTCAGTTAAAGCAACCATGTATGAGAATATTCTAATCAGATGTTATTTATCGTGTAAGAATTACGGTTGCGAGAACCATTTATAGGGGCATATCTTAATAGTTATTTAATATAATATTAATGTAACGTGAATTCCTATATATTTCTTTTTTATAAAGAATATTATTGTAACAACCAAAGCCAATATATACTCAGTTTATATCAACCTAACCAATGTTTAATCAATGCATCGCCAATGAATTGTACTACTATAATGTAAGATAGTATCTAGTTTGTGATTAATGTTTTGTGATCTTATTCCTACAATTTCGCGTGCAATATTCCAGCGTTGATGATCGCCTATCGTAGTTCAATTTTGCCTGTCCTTTCATTGTTTTCCTATCCTCGTAAGCAACGATGTTCCTCAATCATCGCTGATTTCGTGTCGGCAATCGGTGACGTCGGGCGCGCCCGAAATACAATTCTCTTGTAAACGAGAACAGATATTCAGACCGAATACGAAGACTTGTGGCGTGCATTTTAATGAACTCGCTGTCCAATCTTGTTTTCCAGTGGCGTAAGTTCCTTTGGGAGGACAAAGAGAAAACGAAGGAAAGGAGGAGACAGAGAGGAAGAGAGAGGAGTTACAGGCAGCGGCGGTGGAGGCAACGACGGAGGGCGCAGGGAGAGACGGCGGGGTGAACCGGAACCGGAAATGGCTGCGAGGTGGCTGCTACTGCTGGCGCTCCTCGCCGCCCACGCCGCGGCTCTTCCTGATTTCATTAGGATAGGTGAGTATCTTTCTCCTGGTGTGAAAGCCACGACCCTTTCGACCGCATTCAATGGCGTCAGTAAAATTATTATCAATGTCTCGATCGATAATATCCACGAGTAAGGAAATGGTAGTACGGACTTGGCTTTTCGAGATAATATTCGTAGAAGCTTTACGAATATTATAATCAGATAAAATCTTATTCCTCAGTTAATTTGAAGTTAATTTGGAATTTAATTGTAGGCTTAGTTATCGAGATAAATAATCATAGTAATTAAAGTTTTTTTTTAACGTAAAAGTACTTGAAGTGATTTTCTCACACAAAATCTTTTATACAAATTGTTTCATTTATAAAAAAAATTATAATAATTAAATTAATATTATTATTTGTTCCTTTTCATTTTTTTTATCTTTTTTACGTTTCAATTTTTGTAATTATGATAAATTTTTTTTAAATATATTTTTTAAGGTATGTATTAAAAAATTATTTTTGGATAAATTACATCGCCTTACGTTTTTAATTTACAACTCTTGGTTTATATTCATATTGTTACGTATTAGGCAATTGCCAAATATTGTTAAACTATAACGGCTTCGTGAAAATGTTTTGCTGGCCAGGCAAATAATTGAAATTAATAGCGGCGATAAAAGGGTGTGCTACTAATGGTGCTCTATTTAATTGGCATTGATGGTAGTGCAAGAGAAACACAGGCAACGTAACGCAGATAACATGCATTTTACCGTGTGCGACGACAATTACCGAAGTTCTGGCTGTTGCGCGTCAGAGAGAAAAATCACTCCGATAGCAACCACGCGTGTACTGCTGCGCATGTAGCGGATATATAAACAAGAGGTATTTCACAGTTAAATGTCGCTAACCATCTGCCTGCGGATATATTGAAAGTAGCTGCCTCTGTGAACAGCAGATACTGATATAGCACATTCCGCTTACAAGTCACGAAAATCTGCAAAATCTCACGGTTGAAAATAACATATAAAAGAGATATATAATTTAAAAACATTAAGAGATAACATATAAAAGAGATACATATTTTTTAAAAGATTTTTTACACGCAACGACTGAACGATAATTTTACATATTTTGAATTTAAAAAAATGATAAGAATTTTTGTATGTTGTCTCGCAAAAATTTGTATTAAAAAATTTTTACAATTTCTATTTATATTTTATAAAAATTAAAAGGATAAAATTAGCCTTTTATATAAATATTTAAAAAATTATTATAAATTAATAGGATAATATATAATTTTAATGCAATGTAATAATAAATATAATGTTAAAACAATGTAATAATAAATAATTAATATAATAAAGAAATAAGATATAAATTTATAAATATTGACATTAATTATATTATTTTATGATACAAAATATTTTTATACATTCTCTTTTTATAGAAACGATCTTAAAAATATATTTTGTAATTTTGTCGCAAAAGTTTTACTTGTTTTTACTTGAAAACCACAAACATATTTAAATTAGCGTGCAGAAAATTATGAGATTGTAAAATTTTCATCGATACTTTCTAATAGAAAATAAAATCTCATTTATTTAATGGAAATTCTTTGTTATTTTACATGCTATCAATATCTAACAAAACAAAATAAAACAAAATTAATAACGTTATTATTATTAGAATTTAATAGTATCACAACATTATACTGACCACGATGTTTCTGTTTTGAAAATAATTGATTTAACACATATATCTGAAAAATAATTATAATTTATAACAGAAGTACTTCACTTGCATATCAGCTTTTTGCAGTTTTGCAGTTTTATCTCTTAAAAATATGATGAAACAACAACAGCTCGTATATTTTACGCACATGCAAAACTGTCACGTCACTGTTTAATATTACGATTGTCATTTCTCGACGACGCGCGGATATGCGCGTGGATGTACGTGATACCGAATGCTCGACTATACTCGGTGAACTTTTATCGAAACGTAAATTCACGATGCACTCAATTTCCGAACGCTTTCTTTTCCAAGGTAGCGAGAGAGAAGCAAAAGCAGATCGATATACACGTCCGAGCTCAGGGAGATACGTGCTGTACTTGCTACGAGTTTTGATGCATTCGTTCGTACTACGCTTGTTCCGTGTGGCATATCACCAATGCTGTGTATGGCCAATAGCTTTCTGTATCGGAAAACTGAAAAAGGAAAGAAATTTACGAAATAGTACAAAGAGAGACTAGAACGAGAGAGAGAAAACTAGAAATTCTTTTAGCTTACATTACGCCGATTGAATTTTAAGCGTTTCGCATTTCTTATTTTTCTAATTTTTCGCGGTATCTTTTTCGGTACCAGTTCAATTCGTTCAACTTTCTTCTACTACTGCATTTTTATCTGCTTTTTCCATCGCTATTGTTAGTCGAACAATTACATCATAGTCTCGCTTTTTAAGGAAATTATGTTTGAAAATTGAATAGCTGACACGAGGAAAAGTATAAATCTGAAAAGAGTAAAAATCTGTTTTTGTTCTGATAAAAATATGTAACAGTACGATATACAAATCTTTTTCAATTTTGTTATACGATTTAAACGCACACAAATGCCTATGTATAACAGATTATACATAAAATAGTTATACGGGAAAAATGTAATTAAGTTTGTAATGTATGCGCTCACAAAGCTGTCTTTTGCGCGCATGATATAACCAGGATTACAAACAATCTTTTGTTTTAGAACAGCGGCTCATTATGTGCTTTGAATTCAACGTTATTATAAACGGGAGCTGTCAAATTGACGCGAAAATTAAAAGCGGCGTGCGCCATAGTCATGTATAGTTTTCGTGATTTATTTGAGTCAACCGGCCGTGGCGGTGGGAAGTTCATTTATTCGCACGTGTAATTAAATGGCGTGATTTTATATAAAACATTAAAAATGAGCCTTAATATGTATTGTGGCAACAATTTAACATATTTATTGCGTTGTAATGATTGTAACGGAAGCGACAGTTGTTGGCATTCTCAATCACTCTGTGCGAAATAATTTATTAACGATCAATGAATATTTAAATTCATTTAATTTGATTGGGCAGCTGATCTGAAAAAAAAGTTACGTTTAATTTATGTAAACGTTTATTTTCCAACGTTTGCGACGATTTTACGATCGATTGTCATATCTGAAATATTTATCGATATTTGCGACACAAATTCAGTTGATTGCTCAATAAGTCATTAACTACAAAATTATTATTTATCTCTCTCACTCCGGTCTTTCTCGTATTATTTCGTAAATTGTTTTCTTTTTTCAATTTTCCGATATAGAAAGTTATTGGCCATACACGGCATTGGTGAAATGCTACGGAGTAAGGATATAAACGTAGTACAAATGTATTAAAACTCGTAGCAAGTATAGCGTTATTGCGCTTTTAATCACATTTGTTAGTTTTTGCCTTCTCTCCTTGACGAAAGTGTTATAAATGTATTAATTCAAAATTCCTATATGAATCTGATAAAGAAGGATTTATCCTCCTACTGCGAGGACGTTGTTCATCTTTCTTCATTTTGCGTTAAATTTTCAAACTATTCATATTTTCATTCTCATTTACATTATTTGGCTTATTAGTGTCACAATGAGCATAGCGAGTCGAGCAACGTACCTTACGAGGTATGCCAAAGAGAATCGATAGCAGGTCGCTAACGAGAGACGTAAATCTATTCCGCAAATTCTATAAATCGCAGAGTCAAGCCGGTGCAGCTGCTCGTACAGTTACTTTATGACGTACACGAGATTAAAATCAATTTATGGCGCCAATTTCTCCTAACCGAATGAATTGGAAGGCGCAGAATTTCAGCGGACCATACGAAGAAACTGTCGCGAGTACTTATGTGACGCGAAATGATGGAAATGGCAACGAATGGGACGCGTACTCGCATATCTCTTTTCTCGATAAAAAAAAAAAAACAATTGTGTTTGGAAATATGGAAATTTTCGATTGGAATACCATCATTTTAAATATAAAGATATTTTACGAATTTTAATCCAATTTTGTTTCGTAGCAGTCAAATTATGATTTAGCGCTGTTATTTATTGTTTCTTTTCTGGTATTTTACTTTTCAAAATAAACCCTTTATTTTACAATTTATTTGTACGATATTGTGCCGATACTAGATAAAATTTTTCAAGATGTTTTTCAAGATGTTTTTTTTTTCGATAAGAATCAATAAATTAATATATTTTTAAAATTTGTTAGAACTTATAAAAAGTATTTGTACTTAATATAAGTACAAATTTTTCAAAATATTAATATAGTTTTTAAGTGCATTTGTTAAATACATATATTCAAACTTATACCAAAATATTCTTGCCAAAGACATTAGAATTATTTCGAAAATACTGAACATGTAAAATGTAACATGTAAATACATGCGCATAAAATACATTGTACAGTGAAGTTACACGATTCTAGTCGGGATCATCTCACGTAGGTGTAAGTAGACCATAAATCTTTATCCTGCTCTAGTGAACAGAAAACCGGATAAATACGGTTGGGTAAACGGTTGGATAAAGATATTCTGTAATGGTGCTCGTAGACGGAAAATAAGTAGTGCACGCGTGGTTCTCGTCAAAGTAGCACCCTTTAATATGGATGCGTGATTTCCCAGGCGGGCTGTTTCATCCGTCGGACGACAAGCAGGAAGTGGCCTTTCGCTACGCCGCGGAGAAGATCAACGCCAACCGGGACATCCTGCCCAAGTCTCGCCTCAGCGCTCAGGTCGAGGTGATACAGCCGCAAGATAGTTTCCACGCCTCGAAACGAGGTGAGTTTCATAATTGAATCGGAAATACTTGTCCGATTATATCAGATTCTGCTACGCTTTGGGTGTTTCAAAAATTTTCTCGTGAAAATCGACTATTTTCATCGTCGCTCAGTGTCAATCAGTGTGATGCATTTTTTACCTCTATTTTGTTTAACATGGAAAATTGAAATTTACGTTGCCGGTTAATGTCTATCTTTAATTTTTTATTTCTTTATTGTATCGCGCACCTAAGTAAAATATTTTTTTAATATATTTAAAATAAAAAAAAAAAAGATATTTACATATGCACGTACAGACATTTAGAATAAAAAATATGAATCTTATAACATACTTTTTAGCTTTTTAAAATTTTGAAATTTTTAAATATTGTGCTATTAAAAAATCCAAAAAAGAGATTCTATCAACATGCTTCTATTACAAAATTTTCTCTCACTTTAATTAAAGAAACGAGAAAAAGTGCATTAAAAGAGTTCTTCTTTTATTAATAATGTATAGTTTAAAACTAAAAAAGTTACCAAAAAAACTGGATAGAATTACTTCAGTTAGCGATATCGATAAAAGTTAATCGATATTGACGAGTTAAGAGCAACTTATGCTGTGCGAGTAAAGGACTACTATTTTGTCGAGAAACTTCGCGTTAATGTATAGGTGTGGTATACCGAATCGCACAAACTGCCTCGAGAGTTTGTGTGACTTGCTTGATGCGCGAAATAAATTCTATTTACACGATTAAGGATTCGAGAGATTGTCGCGTAAAGCTTCACTCTCGCCAATACTAGAACAGAGCTCTACCATCTGATTCCTGGTGTGACGATCCCATTCTCCAATACTAGCACAGCTTCCTAACATCCTTATCTCAGACGAAGCGAAGCCTCTCTAACGCTAAATCTTGTTACTTGCAGTTTCGGCATGTCTAGTGCACCGCGTTCGTGAATCGAAGTTGGTTTTAACGTGTTAAAAATTTTACTTTACTCGAATATGTACTTTGCAACGTAATAGCGATAGTTCGTGCAAATCGACCACTTTTAAATATTACATTTAAAGATGGTACTTTTTCTTTATAAACTTTTTACTTGAATTTTTGCATAGTATACATGTTGTTTGCATTATATACATGTGAATTAGTATTTAAGTCGATAATGCAGATTATATAATAATTAAAAAGAATTACATTTTTATTCATAAAACCAATATTAAATTTCTTTTTATACAATATTAAAGATGTGTATAGTTATATATATAAAATGTTCTATTAATGTCATACCGTTAATAGTAAAATATAACGTAAGTAGTATGATTTGCAAATATTTTGAATTTTATATATATGTTGAGATATTGATATGCAATATTATGATATAATGCATATTGTATAACTGCAGTATTTTCTTCCAAAGTGACAAAATATTAAGATATAAGCAGTAATGATAAATTAAAGAAAATATCTCAGTCTCTAACCTCAGTATCTAAATATTTGAATTTTTTTTTAAATATATACATGATTAATTTTTTTATTACTATTTTATATCATGTTTCTTCACATAACTGTCTGTCTCTCATATATTATTTGAAAGGCGGCATGGTGATATACGTACGTATATGAAGAATTGTCTCTTGATTCAGAAAATAGGTCACGAATTGCATTTCTGTATTGGGAAAGTCATGAGGGAAAGTTCAATATGAAAATAATTCTACATGATATATACATATAATACAAGTCTGCGGTTAGTCGCTTAACTATACATATATGCAGCAGAAAATTAATAACGTCCAGCACAAAATAATAACTCGGCGGATATTTGCGCATGGAATTAACCAGGGCCAACGTAATTACCATGTCGAGTTACTAAATGATTAAAGCGAACGGTGCATTCTAAATATACACACTAGAGTCGCATGCAGGCGCATCGGTCAAGCCGCGAATGTGTGCAAGCGTGTGAACCGCCGCAAAGCGCGCGCATAGGGGCCAGATAGCCGAATTTGGCTGTGCTCCAGCACGGTATTACACCGTGAAAGCAATTTTATTGATAAACTTCTGTTTGCCAGAAGTTAACAAATCTCCTTGGGACACGCCGATCGCTACGGCCGAGCTGGCTGAGCACAATCGCGTCGTGCATTCGGCGACGTTCGAATTCGCTGTCGTGGGTGATTCAAAAAATTTATCTCTCTCTGTAAATCAGCGGTGAAACGGCACAGTGCGGAGTAACGAGCATTCTGTCGGACATGTAACTCAAACTTCGTTAACAATAGAGTATACTACGTTATAATAGCGAACATGAGATTCCAGCTTTGTTAACAATGGCGTATAATGGGAATATAATGCGATTTATGCAAGATTCAAGCTTTATGGATAATAATGTACAGTAGGATTAGGAATATGACCTCGAATTCCAGATATTAATGTTTTATCTAGATATTAATGTAATAGACATTATATCGCAAGTCGAATAAGAAATTTGAATATTTTTAATAATTTAAGATGTAAATAAAACATACAATCAATTTACGTATAATTAGAATATTTCGAATATTAAATACGAATGAAATCTTGCTATTTTTGCTTCAAATAAATAAAATTTGCATTATATTTGTTTTAAATTAAAAATCTTGGCCAATTTTATTAAAATAGTAGAGTAAGTAGAAGAGACCGAGATCAGTTGACTATAGGGGTAAGTAGAATAATCGAGGCTACATTAAAAACAAAACATGCGAGACACGCATAAACGTATCTAAGCACGCAGCAGTGACTGCCACTAAGTCTGTAACTCTATCATAGATGTAATCCGTAACTCTTGTTGCGAACACATCTATGATAGAAGTTATGCCGCAATTTTTAAAAATCATACACTTAAGTAAATATTTTTATTCTTCAAATTTTTGTTTTACAATCGTATATGATTGTCTGAGATATTTGATTTCTGCTTAGATAGTAAGTGTAATTATTACTTAATAAAGTCCAACAGATTTTTTTTGTTTATGTATCTTTGTCATCATATATTGTTAATATTTTTAAAAAATGAACGGATGAAGGATAGTAGACTAACCACGTGGGACTGTACACATGGGACTGTACGATGACTCGTTTAGTGACGCCTCTTATAGTATTTACTCAAAATTTTATTCCTTTAAAGAGATTTTCCTCAGTGGTAAATGTTATAAGTTTAATTGCCTCATGTGCAATCTCGAAAACTAAACTCATTCGATGTGTTTTTGCATGAAATGAACAAATTTTGCAAAAAGAAGCATTGTATTGCGCTGCGAAGCGAATGTTTATGTTTAAAATATATTTATATAAAAGTTTTATTGATATGTATTCAAAGATGTAGCTTAAAATACATTAATCTTTATTTTAATAATCTTAATCAAATTATCCCGATCCCGGGGCTAGTTGAATCAGATAAAATGCATTAAAAAAATGCATTTTTTAAATATTAATTATCAGTTTCCCCTTATTATTAAAATATTATTAGGTAGACAAATGTGACGTAGTAATTGGTGTAGAATTCATCTTTTTGATAAGTCTCTTAATTTCGTCTGTAAAAATTCGAAACTGAAAAATGAGTCTACTAGCCTTGGTCTCCTCTATTTAAAAATAAGGAATTACACATTTATCAATGAGAAGAAAGATGATATGAAGATATAAATAAAACTGTAAATAAAAGATAAGAAATAGCTTTATATCGCTTTTGAACAAAATACAAAAAATATGGAGATATTCAAAATTAAATCTACTCTATGCATAAACTGTAAGTATTATTTAAATATTGATAATAAATTTATTTCTAGTATTATACATATTATATATCCTATATATGTATATATACATATATAGACCGGCGTTATTTATTTATTTGGTTAGCGAAGTAATTATGTCACAGTCTCGCTCGAGACAAAAGGAGAAAAGAAGTAGTACTGATAAACGGTTGTCTGCGACGTCGGACGCAATAGCGGGATAAATTAAATGCTGGAAATTCACGTCAGGTCTCGTGTTCTTCTCGTCGTTTAGGTTCGTCCTGGGGCGATGAACCTCTTCGTTCGACAAACAGAAAGAGCGAGTAGCCGTTTGGACGGTCTCGCTTCGTGTCTTTTTATGATACGACGGAAAAACATTGGTGAATGCGGTTTGCCTTTATTCGTTTCCTACCTTTCGCATCGCACAGTTGTTGGTAATATAGTTTTACGATTTTGCCTAGCTGTGTCTCGGAATTTTCGGTAATACAGCCTGTCGTTCTCCATCGTGAAATCCCAGTTAGAACGGGAGTTAACGAGGACGCGCGCATTCGATTATGCGTCGTTCCACCGAGCCACGTAGAAAAAAAGCATGCGAAACGACAGCAGCAAACAGTAGCACGGCAGTTCCACCAGAGACAGTTGTTGAGTTCGTTCCATATGCATTGCGCGATAATCTTTGAGAATAGAGATTTTCGCCAGTTCTTTCCATATATTTTTGTTAAAGCAAAGAAAATACTTTGCTAAGTAAACCAAATGGAAATAATATTCTTTTAACAATGAAAATGTCTACGGTTTTTACAAAAACTTTAAAAGCACAATAGGTATAACAAAATTTTAATTTTTGTTTATATTTATGTAAAGAATATTTACACTTATATGTTCTAAAAATACTTATTAATTTATATTTATGTGAAATTAGTAAATATTTAGAACCTCAAAGGAATTAAGAGTTTAATAAAATCTTTACTTAAATTTATACAGTAAATATTTAAAATTGTATGTAAAATAGTTTTATGAAATTATTATCAATAAACAAATTTATTCATAATTGTAAGATAATACGAGTACATACTATACATACTATACTTATATTAATTTGGGAATTATAAAGATAATTTTTCCAGGAATAAAAATATGGTAAATAAATTAATATTTTTTAAGCAAAATTTAAGATTTCGTGTTCACACGTAATATAGTCTATATTATATTACATGCGGCACATACTTCGTATATATTATTAATCGATTATCGTGTAACTTGTGTGAAGGAAA